TGTGAGGGGTGTGCCGGGCCGCCATGCAGGCGCTGCCACTTGTGCCTTCGGTGGAGCTCCCTGCGGGGCCACAAAACAGACGAGGGGTCTGACGCAGAAGAAGGGTTGGGAAGATGTCCATGTCTTCGGAGAGGCCCCTGGAGGGGGATGCGTGCAATGCCCCCCCCCCTGGGCATTTCGCACTTATAGCCGCCTGCAAACAGGAAAGAAATCCCAGAGATCCGCGCGGACCTCCGAAAGTTTGTGTTGGGCCGTCTTCTCTTCCCCGACACCCACCCCTCATCCTATGCTCAGGTCGGGCGTGTCCCCCTGCAGGGGGATTTTGGACGAAGAATAACAAATATTCCAAACAGGCTCCAAAGATGCCCAAAATGCTCCAAAAAATAGTCCCCAGACTTATGCTGTTCCCATCCTACTTAAGGACCGCATCCCAGAAATAATTTCGAGCACCCAGAAAAGTGTCGAAAGAGTGTCGAAACAGTGTCGGGCGAGTGTCGCCCAGGGCCCCACGCGTGAAAACCACCGAGTTTCGGTATTTTTGGGGGGGGCTCGAGAGTCTTTCTGGTGATCAAGGCTAACGAGTAGGGTGGAACATCGTAACCCCAAGCTATTTTTGGACCATGTATGTTTGCATCATCCTCCTGTAGAGGGACAGGCAGAAGGTATTGTTTGACAACTATTCCTCCACAGAGGTATGCAAAATATGTTCCAAAAACCCATAGAAATATTCAAAACATACTCCAAACATAGTCCCCAGACTATGTTTGGACTATGTTTGAACCTTCCTCCTGTAGGGGGACGGGCCCGACGTCAGCCTTAAAACAGGACTGGGATCGGGATACATCGCTCCAGAGCGTTCTGGAGCGGCCGCGGCGCCCAATACATCCTCCGAGCCCGCCGCTTCTCAGAGATTTCGAATCATTCCGCTCCGATTTTGTCCCGATCTTCGCGTCGTTGTATGTAGGGGGACGGGCCCGACGCCAGCCTGTGCTAAAACGACGCGAAGATCGGGACAAAATCGGATCGGGATAACTCGAAATCTCTGAGAATCGGCGGGTTTGGAGGATGTATTGGGCGCCGCGTCCCTGCTCTTCCGTTCCCCGGAAACGCTCCCGGGCTCCCTGAGCGCTCCGGAACGCTCTGGAGCGAGTTATCCCGAACCTAGGCTTGTTTTAATGTGCCCCGCCCTGCCCAGATGCAGGACCAACCGGGCCCGCGCGGGCCAGGGCGCGAGGGCCCCCGGACCGCCCGGGGCGGCTGCCGAAGCGGACGCTTCCTCCGACCAGCCACCAACCGGGGGAGCTGCGGTCCTACTAACCCCCCCAGGGGGAACCCTCCTCCTCCTCCCTCCTCCTCCCTCCCCTCCTCCACCGTCCTCCTCCTCCTCGTCCTCCTCCCCCTCTCCTCCCTCACTCCTCCTCCTCCTCCTCCTCCTCCTCCTCCTCCTCCTCCTCCATCCTCTCCCTCTCCCTCTCCTCCTACTCCTCCTCCTCCTCCTCCTCCTCCTCCTCTCCTCCTCCTCCTCCTCCTCCTCCTCCTCCTCCTCTCCTCCTCCACCTCCTCCGCCTCCACCTCCTCCTCCCCCTCCTTCCCCTCCGGTCCCCACCCCCCCACCCCCCCCCCTCCTCCTCCTCCTGAGAGGAGAGGAGGAGGAGGAGAGGAGGAGGAGGAACGGTCGCCCTCGAAAGCTGCTCGCCAATCTATCCCACTACACGAGACAACCCGTCGGTGACAAGAAGTTGGGGGGGCGGGGGGGAGAAAGAACCAGACTTGCGGCAGATCCGACCAGCCTAACTGGTGAGCTGTGCTCCTTAACCCCCCTTGGGGGAACCCATCGCGTCGAAGATCTCTCGAGAGGGGTGCCGAAATCGATGGGTCCCCCAGGGGGGGTAAGGACCACAGCTCCCCCAGTTGTGGCTGGCCTGCTCATGGCCCATGGCCAAGGGGGCCTAAGGGGACTTAGGTCGGGCGTGTCCCCCTACAGGGGGATTTTGGACGAAAAATAAAAGATACCCCCAAAAATATTCCAAAATGGCCAAACATACTCGAAAAATAATCCCCTGACTATTTTTTGACTATTTTTGAATATTCCCCCTGTAGAGGGACAGGCCCGACTTAAGCCTATGGCCAAGGGGGCTAAGGGCTAGACCTGGCCAGGAGGTCCAGGATGCGAGGGCACTCTTGGCAAGCTCCTGCTCCTTTCTGGCACCCCGCTGACGAGGAGCGACGGGGTCAGAGAGGGGGGGGAACATCGGCCTAGAATCGGCGATACTGAAGGGGCCCCAGGACACACAAACAAATACGCACAAATAAAACATTTCCCCATAGTTTCCCAGATGTTCTGGGTTTCTGTCTTCCCCCCCACTTCCCATATTCTCCCCTATTTTCTGGGGAATCGAGGATTCATTGTGCCTGTGTGTCTCTTTTCCTCCTGCGATACATCCTCGCCGATAGAGATCGGCGACGCGCCCCCGATAGCGAACGAGACGAGGCGCCGCCTGCTGCCAGATCCGCGCCCCCAGAGGGTTCCGCATCTTCGAGACCGGCTTCCGATGGTGATGCCCGCACTCGTGCCCAGGAGATTTTCCGGGTCGGGCGAGAGGGGATTTCGCAAAGGGGGGGTTTGAGAATCGGCTCGCGCAGCTGATTTTCCCGGCGCCTCCCGGCGCCAGAGGCGGCCATGTACCGAGGAATGGGCCCCTCGGTGAGGCCGAAACCAGCTGCATGCAGCAAATTTCGTACCCCCCCCTTTCCCAATCCCCCCCTTTCGCCCCGCCCGAATTGTATAGCAGCCTCCACAGGGCCCCCCCCCCGAAAAAAAGGAGGTCTGGCGGCGTCCTTAGGGGGGAAAGCGCGTCCCCTGAACAAGTCTTTGGCGTGAGCGGATGCTCCGATGAGTCCTTTTATCCTTTTTTTCTGCCGGCCCACCCGGCTGGCCTCGTCCAAGCTGGAACCCTGAAGTTGTTTCTGGCGCTTCTGGTGTCCAATCGGGCCCCGATCGGCGATCGATGGGCGATTTGGGGGTCGATGCATCCTCCCTACGGCAGGTTCGTGTCGTGCCGACCCCAGCGTAGGTTTTTGACACCGCAGGGATCGTTCAACCTTGAACGATCGGCCGCTGCCGCAACGTCCGATCGTCCAACATCGATCGATTCTGGGTCGCCCGCGGCGTTCAAGGTTGAACGCCCGCGCTGGGGTCGCCGCTGGTCGACACGACGCAAACCTACCCTATCCCCCCCAGAGATCCTCGGCGTCGGGTTTTCGGGTCGCAGCTCTCGTGCCCCGGGCGGCCGTTCGTGGGGCGACCTCTCGGCACCCCTGGGACACACGCCCCCCCGGCAAGGAGGCAGCCGCTGGAAGGCGCCCCGAGGCTGGAAAACCGCCGAGAACAGGAGGGGGAGGAGGAGGGGGAGGAGGAGGAGGAGGAGGAGGAGGAGGAGGAGGAGAATCGGAACGTTGCCCCTGATGCTCTCGTCCGGCCCATCGTCCACGAGCCCGTTCGAAGGCACGGAATCTGAAAGCTGTCCCTGATATACCCTTCGTCCTGCCCATCGCCCTGCCCCCTCGTCCTGTGCCCCTCGCCCTGCCCCTCTGGAGACCTCCCGAATGGGGTGCGAGCCGATGAGGGCCAGAGGACCGCGCCGCATGGTCGATGCGTCGGCGACGTCGGCGTAAAGAAAATCGGGTTCCACATCGGGACGCGTTCCCCCCTATCGTCTGAGGGGCAACGATAGGGGTGACTGGCATAGGGGGGGACGCATCGAGCTGGAATCGGCGATACATCGCCGATCGATCGGCGATTGGCCTCCGATCCTGAATCCGCACCTTCCTGTGCAGGTTGGGGCCATCGGGACCCTATCGGCGATCAATGGGCGATTGGGGGTCGATGTATCCTCCCCTATACCTATACCCCCCAATCGTTGCCTGGGATCGTCGCCCCATTCCGAAACCGACAGCAGCCGCTGTGGGGCTGGCGGCCTTCTGTCTCAACTGGACAACAACGCCCGCGGCGACGCCGACAGCCAACCCTGCTCAACATGGACAAGGACTGGTGTCGGCGTCGGTCTTCGTACCCGTCCTCTCCCTCCTCTCCGTACCCATTCCGAGCGTACCGAATCCGCCCCTATCGTTAGATCGGGCATGTCCTCATAGAGGCGGACCCTAGGAACAACAAATGAAAAAAGAGTCCACGAATAATCAAACATAGTCAGAAGAGCACGAACACTTGTCACCAGACTATGTTTTACTACTCTGGAGTACCCCTCCTGTAGAGGAACATACCCGACTTAAGCCTATCGTTAAGTCGGGCGTGTCGTGTCCCCCCACAGGGGGAGTTCCGATGAAAAATCAAGCACACCCCAAACATACCCCCAAACGGCCGAACATACTCAAAAAATAATAATCCGCAGACCACTGTGGGATTATGTTTGGACTATGCGTGGGGCATTCTTTACGGTTCGTCGAAAATCCCCCCTGCAGGGGGACACGCCCGACGTCAAGCCCTCTCGGCGACCCAGGGGCGACGGGGGGCCGACGCGCTCTCCCCCTCTGCAGGGGGCCTGTCCCTGCGGATAGACCGACAGGGTGCCGCCGCCGCTGCTCCCCGGACCTCTCCCGGGGTGCGTGCCGAGCAGAGTTATTGTTGTTGTCGTTGTCGTTGCCGTTGCCGTTGTCGTTGTCGTTGTCGTTGTCGTTGTCGTTGTCGTTGTTGTTGTTGTCGTTGTCGTTGTCGTTGCCGTTGTCGTTGTCGTTGTCGTTGTCGTTGTCGTCGTCGTTGTCGTTGTCGTTGTCGTTGTCGTTGTCGTTGTTGTTGTTGTTGTTGTTGTTGGTTCGTGACTGCTGTGCGATGTCGCTGGACAGGCACCTGCGGAAGTCGCTTTGTCTGGAAGGAGCGGCTGAAGACGAGTCTGCATGGATGTGCGCAGCTGGCGCTACGCGGCACAGGCGGACGCTGCTGCTTCTGAGCATCATCGTGAAACTGATGCACGAGTTACAACCTCATGCACGAGTCACAGGAGGAGGAGGAGGAGGAGGAGGAGGAGGAGGAGGAGGAGGAGGAGGAGGAGGAGGAGGAGGAGGGAGGAGGAGGAGGAGGAGGAGGAGGAGGAGGAGGAGGAGGAGCTCCATGCCGGGGTGCGTGCCGACCAGGGCTCCGAGGGGAACCCCGCGGTGGCGACCAGGGCCTCCCGGGAGGCCCACGCCGGCGGCAGAGAAGGGGGCAGCGGTGTCGGTGCCTTCTCCTCCTCTGACATCCACCCTGTCGTGGCCCCTCGGCCCTCCCCTCGGCGGCGCGCACGAGGGGGGTATGGGGGAGAGGGGGAAGGCTTCTTGGAAGGAGGCTGCTCCCTGAAGGCGCCGCCCCTAGATCTGCAGATGCCACCAGCCCTTTGGGAGGCAGGTGGTCTAACGATATGGTTTCTTTCCTCTTCCAAGACCCCCTCTTTCCCTTTCGGGGAGGGGCCTATCACCGTTCCCTAAGAATAAACACCCACTCCCCCAGGCGACTGGTAGCCAACCTGGAACCATGAGGGCACCCCCCCACCATCCCTTGAAACAAAACCATACAAAACACACTCTGCCTCCAAATTCGGAGCATGCGCAGCCAACCCGATGCGGCCTCCCCCACCATCCCTGTCAAAAAACATGATCGACCCACGAACCCGGAAAGGAATATAGAAATGTAAGGCATGGCAACGTCTCAAAGACACATGATTGGGCGACGGGCAAATGCAATGCTGAATGTATCGATCTTGATGTACTGTGCCGAGGGCTGTGCTGTGCTACGCCGTGCTGAACTGCGATGTGCCATGCCGCGATTGTGCTCTATACAGCGTTGTGGATCGAGCCCTCCCTGGCATCCGAGCCCTGACCGAACTGATCTGGATCTTAAGGTCGAGCTGCCTGAGCAGATGGTAGCTGCCCCAGAAACTAATCGACAGAGGGGATATGCCAGGAGGACGCGCCGCGGAACGTCCCAAGGGACGCGCCGACGGCTGTGCTGTGCTGGGCCGTGCTGAACTGCGATGTGCCATGCCACGATTGTGCTCTGTATAGCAATGTGAATCGAATCATCTTAGCATCCGAGTTCTGACCGAACTGATCTGGATCTTAAGGTCGAGCTGCCTGAGCAGATGGTAGCTGCTCCAGAACTAATCGACAAGGGGATATGCCAGGAGGACGCGCCGCGGAACGTCCCAAGGGACGCGCCGGGCGACGTGCCAGGGGACGTGCCATGGGCACGCACCGCGGGACGTGCCAAGGGGACGCGCTACAGAACGCGCCAATGGACGTGCACCGCGGGACGTGCCAGGGGGACTCGCCACGGGACGCTCCGCGGAACGTGCCGAAAAGACAAAAAATAAAAAAAACAAAGACATGCCAAAAAAAAACCAACAAAAAAGACAACAAAAAAATCAAAAAAGGGGGCAACATGCCAAAAATAGAAAAAGGCTGCAATGCTAAGGGTATCGATATTGATGTACCGTACCGAGGGCTGTGCTGTGCCTGGGCGACCTGGACACGTGAAAACACGCGTTTCGTTCAAGACGTTCTCAGCACATCCTCATGCTAGACATCCGCCTGGGCAACCTGGACACGTGCAAACAAGCGTCTCGATCGAGACTTCCTCGACACATCCTCATGCTGGACATCCGCCTGGGCGACCTGGACACGTGAAAACAAGCCTCTGGTTCGAGACATGCTCAACAAATCCTCATGCTAGACATCTGTCTGGGCAACCTGGAGGCGTGAAACCAAGCGTCTCGCTCGAGACACCTTCAAAACCTGGGCACGTGAAAACAAGCATTTCACTTGAGAGATCCTCTGAATTCAAGTCCCCAGGAGAGGACTATAACACAAAACAAGCGTTTCGCTCGAGACATCCTCAACAAATTCTGAAAAACAAGCGTTTCGCTCGAGACATGCTCAAATGTTAATTCGCCGGGCCCACCTCGACCTCGATATTTATCGGAAAAGAAATTCGCCGGCCCACCTCAAGTCAAACCCAGGGGTAAACCCACTAAAAGAGAACCCTGGGCTTATGCCCTTTCTGGGAACAATACAGAATAGACTTGGCGGCGGCGGCGGCGGCGGCGGCTGCGGCGGCGGCGGCGGCGGCAGCTGCGGCGGCGGCGGCGGCGGGGGCGGCGGCGGCGGCGGCGGCGGCTGCGGCGGCGGCGGCGGCGGTGGCGGCGGCGGCAGCGGTGGCGGCGGCGGCGGCGGCGGCGGCGGAGGCGGCGGCGGCGGCGGCGGATTGGCCCCCAGTAGCTGCCCATCCAAAGACGACTGCTGAATATGCTGAGGCTCGGGCCAGACTCGGGTGCTACGTATGTGTTTGGAGGGCGGGTGGGAGTGAGCGAGACGGCTTGCGGGCGGGAAGGGAGTCTTGACCCCTCCCCCCTACCCCCTCCCCTGGACCTGGACGGGGGGGTTCGCGAGGTGGCAGAGGGCCCCTTTCGTGTCAAGATTGCTCCAAGATGGCCTTACAGAGCCCAAGATAGCCTCCAAGATCACTCAAGATAGCCCAGCATGGCTCAAGAAAACTAACCACATGCTTCCAAGAGGCTCCAAGAGGGCCACAAGACGGTTCCAGGTGCTCTCAAAGCTCCCTCGGGTCCCCCCGAGAAGCCCAAATCCTTCGAAAACCTTAAGGAAATCAATGATTTGTGCCTTCTCGCCTTTTCGCTGCCGGTGCACTTTTGAGGCTTCAACATGGCCCCAAGATGGCCCAAGAGAGCTCCAAAAGGGGTCCAAGAGGCCCCCAAGACGGCCCCATGAGCGCCCAAGATCGCTCCAAGAGCGCCCCAAGAGTGCCCCAAGAGGCGATTGTGATAGCCCGGGAGGGGGCGGGGGGGGGGGCAAATCGAGGACCCCCCTTCCTTTGATCGATGGTCTCCAAGACGGCCCCAAGAGGCGCTCCATAGCTCCCAAGAGGGCCCCAAGAGAACGCCAAGCGAGCCCCAAAAGAGCCCCAAGAGGGCCCCATGAGGGCCCTAAGACGCCCCAGAAGAGCCTCAAGAGGACCCCAAGACCCCCAAAGAGCCCTAAGAGGGCTCCAATATGCCCCAAAAGAGTTTCAAGAGGACTCCAATATCCCCTCCTCCTCCTCTTCCTCCTCCTCCTCCTCCTCCTCATCCTCCTCCTCCTCCTCCTCCGCCTCCTCCTCCTCCTCTTCCCCTCGCGGCCCATGGCCCGAAGAGGCCTTCCAAGGCCACCCCCTTGCTCCCAGAGATCTCTCGGCTCACCCTGGTTGCTCGCTATGTTTCCCTAGGATGTGTCTCTTCGTCCCTCTTCCCGTCGGCTCTCGTGGGCAGGGCTTCTGAATGGGCTGGTGGGGATACTTTTTGATCGCGGCCGCGCCGAGAGCAGTCGGGCGGCGCCCGAGGGCGCAACAAGCTGAGCGGCGGCCTGAATTACGCGCCACGGAGGGGGAAAGAAGACAGAGGGAAACTAATGGTGGGGATGCTTTTTTGTTCGCGGGCGGACGCGGATTCGCAGTCGCCAGGCTGAGAGGTCCGGGCCACAGGCCTGTCAAATTGGCAACGCGCAGTGGGGGGGGTACTCTTTTTTTGGTCGCGGCCACGAGACAAGGGTCAGGCGGCGAAGGCAACGTCCGGGCCACGGGCGAGGCTAATTGGCTAAATGGCGGGGATACTCGGAGCGTGAAGAATTTAAGATGTTCTAGCCTACTTTTGCCTTGATCGCCAGAAAGAACTTCGAGCACCGAGCAAGTACCGAAACTGGAGGGCTTTCGAGCGTCGGGCCCTGGGAGGCGACACTCGGTCCACACTGTTTCGACATTTCTCTGGGTGCTCGAAGTTATTTAGGGGATGTGGTCCTCAAGTACGATGGGAGCAACATAACTATAGATCAGGCCCGCGCCTTCTAGGAAGCAGGGGTGCTTCCAAGAAGCCCCCCAGTCCTCCCCTTGGCGGCGCGCACGAGGGGGCAATTAGGGGGAGGGGGGAGGGCATCTTGGAAGGAGGCTGCTCCCTAACAGCGCCGCCCCTAGTGCAATAGATCAGGCCCGCGCCTTCTGGGAAGCAGGGGTGCTTCCCAGAAACCGGGTTTTCGAATTCAAATCCAAGAAACACGTTTTTGAGTCGTTCAATGAAATCAGCTTTTGGAACTAAAACATGATCGACCCACGAACCCAGAAAGGAATGTAGAACTGTAACACATGGCAGCGTTTTCAAAGACACCTGATTGGGTGACGGGCAAATGCAATACTGAAGGTATCGATCTTGATGTACCCTGCCGAGGGCTGTGCTGTGCTGCGCCGTGCTGAATTGCGATGTGCCATGGCGCGACTGTGCTCTATAGCCTCGTGGATCGAGTCCTCCGTTGCATCCGAGTCCTGACCGAACTGATCTGGATCTTAAGCTCGAGCTGCCTGAACACATAGTAGCTGCCCCAGAGCTAATGGACAGGGGAACATGCCAGGAGGACGCGCCGCGAAACGTCCCAAGGGATGCGCCAGGCGACGTGCCAGGGGACGTGCCATGGGTCGCACCGCGGGACGTGCCAAGGGGACGCGCTACGGAACGTGCCAATGGATGTGCCACGGGATGTGCCAGGGGACGCGCGACGCGACGTGCCAGGGGGACTCGCTGAAGGACGCCCCACCGAACGTGCCAAGGAACGTGCCAAGTTGCAATGCTGAGTGCATCGACCTTGATGTACCGTGCCGAAATCAGTGCTGTGCTGCGCCGTGCTGAATTGCGATGTGCCATGGCGCGATTGTGCTCTATAGCCTCGTGGATCGAGTCCTCCTTTGCATCCGAGTCCTGGCCGAACTGATCTGGATCTTCAGCTCGAGCTGCCTGAACACATAGTAGCTGCCCCAGAGCTAATGGACAGGGGAACATGCCAGGAGGACGCGACGCAGAACGTCTCAAGGGACGCGCCAAGCGACGTGCCAAGGGACGTGCCACGGGGACGCTTCGCGGGACCTGCCAAGGGGACGCGCTACGGAACGTGCTGGGGACAAGCGTTTCGCTCGAGACATCCTGTCAAAATCATCTGAATTCCTACGCGCGGGACGCTGCGCGCGCGAGACATCCTCGGAATTCATGCGAGCGGGACGTGAAAACAAGCATTTCGCCTGGGACATCCTTTGAATTCTGGCCCCCCCACGAGGCCACCGCTCGAGACATCCTCCAATTTTGCAAAACCAGCGTTTCGCTCGAGACATCCTCAACAAATTATGAAAAACAAGCGCTTCGCTCGAGACATCCTGTCAAAATCCCAAGACATCCAAATACCCGCGCGCGGGGCGCGGCACGCGCGAGACATCCTTGGAATTCCTGCGCGAGGGGCGCTTTTCCGCGTCGCGGTCGGCTCTGCAAAACCAGCGCGTCGCTCGAGACATCCTCAACAAATTCTGAAACCAAGCGTTTCGCTCGAGACATCCCCAACTCTGCAAAACCAGCGTCTCGCTCGAGACATCCTCAACCAATTCTGAAAAACAAGCGTTTCGCTCGAGACATCCTCAAAAATAATTTCGCCGGCCCTACTCCGTGCGTGCCCGCTCGCAAAATAATTTCGCCGGCCCAAGTCGCAGGGGGGCCGGGGGGTTAACCTACTAAAAGAGAACCCTGGGCCCGCGCCCTTTCCGGGAAAAAGATAAGCCTGTACTTCCCACGCTTTCCTATGTTTCTCAAATGGTTCAACAATTGCGCTGAAATGCAACGCAACACACAACCATAAAGGCAAGTGCTCGTTCGTTCAGAGACCTCCGGCTTTTCGAATACACGACGAAAGGTCGTAGGAAAACCATCAAAATTTTGTGAGGATGTCTCTGCTTCCCCTCCCCTCGGCCGGAGTTACCTTCTATCACAACAGCACCCCGTTCAGCAATCTGTTCGGGGAAAAACCGTGGCGAGATGATTGAGCCTGCTAAAATCATCGGACTTGCTGGCGTGACTCTCCAAACTTTAGCTCAACGGTTGCCGAAACAATTGGAAAGCTGATCATGGAAATCGGAAGCCGGAAAAGGTGCGAAGATGCCAAAGGCCGTCCGATGAAGATCTATTGATATGGTTTCTATTGTTTGCCGCTGTGCAGGGCTGAGACAGTCACCAGTTGAATATTCTTTTTGTTTGACGTTTTCGTGTGTCATCTCTGATCTCCGGAACGAAGCACAAGCCATCGGAGCTCCAAGGTCATCGCACGCAATATTTGTCAAAAGAGAGGAGTCCAAGCTGTGCATCACTACGTCAGAAAAATGGGCCGCGTATTTACTGTACACTGAAGTCGAAGAAAGATTTGCTGCGTACTCCTCCATTACTGAATCGGTCAACCAAGAAGCGAAACCTGCTTTTGAAATGCCTCTTTTTGCATTTGTCTGCCGGTAGACGCTTGCGATCCATTCGTAGAAAGGTCGATAAACCACGATGATTTTAGTAGCGACGGGCCTTAAATCAGAGGCGAGCTGCGAGATCTGCGCTGTCCGATGGGCGAAAGCCTCACTAGACATCACCACGTAATGGGAGGTACCCCTGAGCTTGTCAATGTACTCCAGCCAATCCAAACAAGTTTGGGTTTGATTTACAACATAAGGCAAATCGAACTCGGCATAGCACCGAGCTACGTTGGCGACTTGAATCCTCCTCTGAAAGCCTAGCAATTTTCCGAATGACCCAGGGCGCAGGAATATCCAACCGTCTTTTTCCAGCAGGGACGCCCGGTCGCTCAACTCGTGTTGAACTGTTTTCGTACCAGTCTTGTGGGGTCCAACGTGAATTACAACAGTTGCGCCATTCTCTTTCGACTTTTCTGCACCCATAACCAGTCCGTCGTGATACACCCAATGCAAGATGCTGATCGTACTCCATACTTGCAGCCGATGCGTAGGCATAACGCCGCAACAAAGCAGAGGCGCCTAAATCTTGGGCTGCCGCAGAAACGGATGACTCAAATAATGACGTGCTTGCGCCAAACTTGAGCCAAACTGGCTTGAGTCAAAATGGCTACGGAACGCAATCACGTACATCCTTGGTTGCACAACTGTCCTGTGCTACTTGGGTTCCCGCCGCCAGAAGATAAAAAACTCTCGGCATATAAAATTAATGTGTTTCACGCAGGTGCAGCTCAGGGCTCAGGGCCTGAATCGGATTGGTCACCATTTCTCCAAACAGTGCTTGCACTTAGGGGTTGTTGCTTCTGATTTGCGGAACTGGACCTGCGCGTCGGTCTGGCGGCTGTGGTCGCCGTCGCCACCCCGTCGCCGCCCGTCGTCTGGGCTTGCGCGGCGGTCTGGCGGCTATGTTGTAGCCGACGCTGCGCCTTCGCCGCCTCGTCGCCAGCCGTCGGCTGGGCCTGGGTGGCGGTCTGGCGGCTATGTTGTCGACGTCGCAACCACATAAACCACTACACATAAATGGCACCACGTAGGTTCTTCGGTCTAAGAAGTATTCGGGTCTACCTCCCAACCCCCGAATTGAATTGGCCACCTTTTCGTATTGCGTTTGTGTATGATTCTGCACGCTCATCCATCCTAAAATGATGGACCCACGAACCCGGAAAGGGATATAGACATGCGCAGCATGGTCACATTTTCACGATACCCAACTGGGCGACACCTCACAAAACATCCCACGAGACACCCCGCGAAACATCCCACGAGACACCTCGCGAAACATTCCACGAGACACCTCGCGAAACGTTCCACGAGACACCCCGCGAAACATTCCACGAGACACCCCGCGAAACATTCCACGAGACACCCCGCGAAACATTCCACGAGACACCCCGCGAAACATTCCACGGGGGTGCGACTGGGTGTGGTCGTGCTGGGGTGTGGTCTTGCTGGGGTGTGGTCGTGTTGGGGGGGTGGTCGTGCTGGGGGGTGGTCGTGCTGGGGCGTGGTCGTGCTGGGGCGTGGTCGCGCTGGGGCGTGGTCGTGCTGGGGTGTGGTCGTGCTGTGGTGAGGTCGTGCTGGGGTGGTCCGCACCCTGTGATTTAGCACCGCGAGCAACGACAGGCAACCACTCAACCAGGACAACCACGAGGAGACGCGTAACGCACGCAACGGTACGGGCGCCACTCATCAAACACACAGGGAGTCCGTGGCTGCCTCGGTTGAGTGGTTGCCTGTCGCCGCCCCCTGGGCGGATCCCCCTCGTAGTCGTCGTCGTCGTCGTCGTCGTCGTCGTCGTCGTCGTCGTCGTCGTCGTCGTCGTCGTCGTCGTCGTCGTCGTCGTCGTGGTCGTGCTGGGAGGTGGTCGTGCTGGGGTGTGGTCGTGCTGGGGCGTGGTCGTGCTGGGGCGTGTTCGTGCTGGGGTGTGGTCGTGCTGTGGTGAGGTCGTGCTGGGGTGTGGTCGTGCTGGGGTGTGGTCTTGCTGGGGTGGGGCCGTGCTGGGGTGGGGTCGTGCTGGGGTGTGGTCGTGCTGGGGTGTGGTCGTGCTGGGGTGGGGTCGTGCTGGGGTGGGGTAGTGTTGGGGTGTGGTCGTGCTTGTCGTGCTGGGGTGTGGTCGTGCGGGGGTGTGGTCGTGCTGGGGTGGGGTCGTGCTGGGGTGGGGTCGTAACAAAACAAGCGTTTCGCTCGAGACATCCTCGGCAAACTCTGCGGAGCAAGCGTTTCGCTCGAGACATCCTCAACGCACGAAAAAGTGGCCCGCACCCTCTGATTTATCGATCGGGATTTCAAAACAGAGTAGTCTAGGAACCAAAAAAACTAAAAAAAAAAAAAAAATAAAAGAAAAACAAACAAAAAAAAGTAAAACAAAAAAAAAAAAAAAAAAAAAAAAAAGCAAAAAAAAAAATAAAAAAACAAAAACAAAAAAAAAAACAAAAGCAAAAAGAAAAAAAAAAAAAAAAAAGAAAAAAAAAAAGAATACAAAAAAGAAAACAGAGAAAAAAGAAGAAAGAAAAAAAAAAAAAAACAAGCGTTTCGCTCGAGACATCCTCAAAAATAATTTCGCCGGCCTCCTTCGACCTCGATATTTACCAGGGAAAAATTTCGCCGGCGCCTCCTTCAAGTTGGGCACGGGGGACTATGTTTACATACTAAAAGAGAACCCTGGGCCTGAGCCCTTTCCGGGAAAAAAACCGGCTTTTTGGAATTCACACAACAAACGAATTTTTTATTCAGAAAAACAACTTTCGGATTCAAGAAACTCGAGTTCAAAAAACCAGTTTGGGGGAATTCGAAAAGACCGCTCTTTGAATTCACCCCAAAAACCGTTTTGATCAAAAAACCTGCCGCTCTCGGGTCGGGCGAAAGGAGGGGATAGCAAAGGGGGGGTTTGAGAATCAGCTCGCGTAGCTGATTTTCCCGGCGCCTCCCGGCGCCAGAGGCGCCCATGTATCGAGGAATGGGCCTGGCGGCGGGGCCGCAACCAGCTGCATGCAGCAGATTTCGCACCCCCCCCTTTCCCAATCCCCCCCTTTCGTTCGGCCCGAAACATGATCGACCCACGAACCCGGAAAGGAATATAGAAATGATAAGCATGGAAACGTTTCACGACACCCACTTGGCCGACGGGCAATTGCAATGCTCAAAGTAACGATGATGATGAAGGAATGCAGGATACACCGTGCACGGCTGTGCTGTTGCCGTGCTGTGCGGTTTAAAAAAAATGTGTCATGCCGCGACTGTGTCGCGTCGCTATGCATTTGTGGGTCAAGTCGTCCCTTGACGTCGGACACCCATGTAGATACCACACCTGGTGGCCTGGACACGTGGAAAACACCCGGTTCCAGCGCGGAACACCATGTTTAATACGCCCCCTGTGGTGGCTCTCACACCGTGAAAGCACGTGGTCCAGCTCGGGACCACCATGTTTAGATCCCTGGTCCTGAACACGTGAAAGCGACACGGTTCTCAGCGCAGGGACGCACCAGGTAGATACCCCCTGGGTGCCTGGACAAGTGAAAACCCGTGTTCCAGCTCGTACCCCCATGTTAGATACCCCCCTGGGTGGACTGAACCACGTGAAAACACTGTTCCAGCGCAGGACCACCATGTTAGATACCCCCCTGGGTGGCCTGAACACGTGAAAACACGTGGTCCCAGCTCGGGACCACCATGTTAGATACCCACCTGGGTGGCCTGAACACGTGAAATCACACGGTTCCAGCGCAGGACCACCAGGTTAGATACCCCCCTGGGTGGCCTGGACACGTGAAAACACGTGGTTCCAGCTCGGGACCACCATGTTAGATACCCCCCTGGGTGGCCTGAACACGTGAAAACACGTGGTTCCAGCTCGGGACCACCAGGTTAGATACCCCCCTGGGTGGCCTGGACACGTGAAAACACATGGTTCCAGCTCGGGACCACCATGTTAGATACCCCCCTGGGTGGCCTGAACACGTGAAAACACGTGGTTCCAGCTCGGGACCACCATGTTAGATACCCCCCTGGGTGGCCTGACACGTGAAAACATGTGGTTCCAGCTCGGGACCACCATGTTAGATACCCCCCTGGGTGGCCTGAACATGTGAAAACACGTGGTTCCAGCTCGGGACCACCATGTTAGATACCCCCTGGGTGGACTGAACACGTGAAAACACGTGGTTCCAGCTCGGGACCACCATGTTAGATACCCCCATGTCTGGCCTGGACACGTGAAAACACGTGGTTCCAGCGCGACACCACCGTGTCAGATACCCCCCCCTGGGTGGCCTGGACACGTAAAAACACGTGGTTCCAGCTCGGGAGCACGTGCAAATTCACACTTTACCACGTAATTTATCGCAGAATAATTCCGCCGGCCCTACTCCCGCACGTAATTTATCGCAGAATAATTTCGCCGGCCCTACAGCCGTCGAAACCGGGGGGAACCAACTAAAAGAGAACCCTGGGCTCGAGCCCTTTCCGGGAAAAAAACCCGGGCGAGGCCCGGCCGACTCCCCCAGGGCGCTCCAGGAGCGCGCCAAGAGGGCGCCGGGACGCGCCCTACACGGCCCAAGAGGCCCCGAGTCGCCGAAAGATCGTTCCAAGACGCTCAAAATAGTCTCCAGATGGCTCCAGAGGCCGCGAAAAAGCTCCAAGAGAGCCTCAAGAGTCAAGAGGCTCTCTGAGAGGGCCCCAACAAGCAAACATCGCCCCATTCCCTCTGGAAAACGTGCACTTTTTTCGCATGTGCGACGTTTCTCGTCTTTTCGGCTTTCAACGCTCCAAGACGGCCCAAGAGGCCCCCAAGACCGCCCCAAGTCGGCCCAAGAAGCCTCCAAGAGGGCCCCAAGACGGCATCCCAAGAGGCGCCCATATTGGCCCAAGAGGGCCCCAAAACGGCCCCAAGAGAGGCCCAAGATCCAAGACGGGGACTGAGAACCGAAAAGTCCAGCCTTCAGCTCCAATAGGCCCCCAAAGGCCCCAAGAGGCCCAAAGGGGCCCCCAAGAGGCACCCCAAGAAGCCCCAAGAGGCCCCAAAGAGGCTCCAAGAGGCCCC